TCTCTTCTGCAGCTGGGAACACAGCTGACTAGAGTGATCATTGCCCTCTGATTAAAAGATCACATCAGTATTAAAGAAAAAATAGCTGAGATTTAATCCTCAGGTGTTATTTACTTTCTATGAAAATGGTGATGGGCCTTGTACAAAAGTTACTTGCATTGTCCTAGTGCAAGGAAGGGCAAGCATTTTGTCCCTTTGTGTTCATTATAAATCTAGCCACTTTTCTCTATCTGTTTACTTAGGGTTTAAAACATCTGTTCATGTATACATGGGTTTAAAGACATCATTAGAAAAGGCAATACCAGGTAATTTTATCATTGAGAAGTTATACTATTCCTGATGTACTTCAATAGCATAACAAAATAAACCCCATCTCTGCACCTGCTTGTCTGGCTAGAGGCAAAGAAATGTGAATATGTCACTGTTAAACAGTTTCCTGCAGCAGCACAATCTGGGACAAACCATTACAACTTAATGGCAACTTAATACAGTCAATTAACTTTCCCCTGTGAACAATCCAACCACAAAAAAAGCTCTATTTCAATCAGCCCTGTGAGTGTTAACAGAAATTTGCTGCAATCAAATTCTCTGCTCCAAGAAGAAAAGCAACATTATAAATTATGTTGAACCCACCTGTAAATTCTGAAATGATTGATGAGAAATGTGTATGTTGGTTAGAGAAAAGATCCGTGTGTCCTTCTCTCAATCTGGATTCCTGCTACATATGCCACTCCTCTGCATGAAAATGGAGCTGCCTGGTTTTCACTGAAGCAGAGACTGCAATTCCTTCTGTCCTACCAGGTTAAAAACATTGAGAGTTCTGCTTCACCACAATTCTTTGTGAATAATCAAATGGGAACATGCATTTCTCCTCTTTGTTTCCCTCTGTCCTTCCTTGCAGCTGGAATTGTTGCTAATCAAAATCCATTCCTGGGTGCCTCTCCTCTAAAAATTCCACATTTGACAATGGGAGAAGGAGAAAGAATAACAAAAATACTGATATTTGAAAAATTACAATCTACTTAATTTGAAAGGATAACCATGAATACCTATTTCATCCTGTCAGGGAAATACTTATTACAAAATTTTAGTCAAAGCTTAATTTTCTGTCTAGTGTTTCTAAAAATGGTTTTTATCTGATGTTCTCTGCACTCTGTTAAGAGCCATTAATGCTCAAGAGCTTTAAGCTGTTGCCAGCATGAATATGGGGTCTTGGTGCTAAAGCACCCAGAACTGCCCAGGGGAAAGGCAGAGGAAAGAGAAAAAAAATTTCAGAAAAAAGTAGTTTGAAACTCTCTTGGYTTTAAGTAGTAGCATATATGTGTGTAGCTTTGCATGAAGAATAACCATTAGCAACTTTCCCTCTCACKTCCTTACTGTTTAGAAAAGTCTTTCTCCTCAAAAAAGCTGTCTGATTTTTATCTTCCTCAGTTTACGCTGGGAGGATCCCACTCTCTTTCTCCSAAACTTTCCTCTGAGCACCATATAAACAAACTCTGTTATAGCTGWTGAAGACTAATTAGTTTTACTCAGTTTGGAAGGGAAATGGCGAGAAAAGATAAGATGAGGACAAGCAAAGAAAATGGGCAGTGGGAGCTGGTTGGAGGAATAACCTTTAAAGATTGTTTGAGAAAATGAGAAGGAACTAAAATTCAGTATGAATACTGGAACTTCAGCATTAATAAGTTTCCATAACTAAGCATTTCTCGGACTAAGGCATCCTTTGCCTTCAGGCCCCAATCCAGCAAAATACTTAAGCCTGAGTAGGATTATTGAACCCAACATATGTCAATGGGATGGGCTCCTATGCTTAAATGTAAGCATTTATTTAAGGGCTTTGCTGGATCAGAGCATTGCTATTTCTATTCTGTGGTTACCATCTAAGTGGGAAACACCTATCAAGCACAATTCTGGTGTGCAAGGGATACCCATTGCTCATCATGCARCAGGTTTTGTGGGACTAGATGAAGCTGCTCTCTGCAGGGCATCATAATCCACATTGTTTCCATTTAGAATTCTGAGTTCAACAACAGCCATTCAGGCTTACATACACAAGTGCTGCCCGCCACTTTGCAACTTACTTATTCAAAATTAATTCCTTAAAACTTCCTTCCAGTGGATTTTACTTATGATTGATATTATGGTATGTGTCCAGCACTGCAGTTTGGAGAAGACCTTTTTTCTTAACTGTAAGCCATGATCCTCTGAAGATGCGTGTTTTAAAAACTTCCTTCCCAGAGAACAGAATTTTTTTTTTTTTGCATTTCCTATGTCTGTCTCCACTTCTTTCATCCTAGATGCTTTCAACAAACACCAGAAAAAGCCCAAGTTATCTTGTTGTAAATATTTGTGTAACATGGGCTTCACCAAAGCATTGTGCTTCTATCTGTGGCCTTCAAAAACACATCAAATGCCGATCTAGTAATAGAGGAAGAAGTATTCCAGCAGATGCCCCTAGTATTSCAGCAGAGGCAAACCTTTAGTTGCCTTCCCTAGGAAGAAGGAAAGAAAGCAGTCTCCTTGAAAAAGGTTTGCATGACCTGTGAAAGCCCACCTGGAGTCACCTCAGACCTTAAACCTGCAGAAAAGCAATTTTGATATCTGTTCCAGAAATTTCTGTCAGTCAGAAAAAKAGAAACCTCCTGAGAACAAGGACAATGGCAAAAGATAAAATTGGCAGGTATGCAGAAAAACACTGAAGGTCAAGCTCAGTATGAGAATCAAGCACTTATTAGCTTATCATAAATAGATTATAAGGGACTCACTAGATTTATAATCCTAAGGCTCAGGTCCTTGCATTTAAGATAAACAGATGAAGCAAACAGGAGAACCCGCTTCAGCTACTGCATATCAAGCTCCTTACAACCAGATAGGCATCTTTTGACACAAAGCCATGATTTTTCACTCTTGGTTTTTT